GGCCATGGCTGTGGACTTGGATACAGCTTTGTTACTTCGGATGTTATTCGTCACCCGTACTAGCTGATGATTGGTAGAGTGCCCCTTTCTGAATCCAAACTGTTCCGGAAGGAGAATGTTATTTTCCTCGACAAACTTGAGCAAACGATTGAGAATGAGTTTCTCGAACAATTTGCTCAGCGCTGAAAGGAGGCTGATGGGTCTGTAGCTTGAAGGCAATGTTGGATCCTTACCGGGTTTGCGGATTGGTATGATTTTAGCTACTTTCCAGATGCTTGGAAAGTAGTGCAGTTCCAAACATCTGTTGAAGATAGCGGTTAGAAGAGACTGCACTTTCATGCTGAGTCTCTTCAAGATCAAGTTAAATATACCATCAAACCCGGGAGCCTTCATGTTCTTGGTGCATTTCAGCGCTGAGCAAACTGTTGTACTGTAATCATATCCGCTGGAGGCACGACACAAGGGGAGACATCTAGGTTTTGAACGCATTGCGCAACCTGATAATCGAGCGGACTTTGGATATTCGAGCCAAGCAAATGCGATGAAGCGACATGCTTGCCGATCGCATTTGCTTTCTCCTGTGGGGTAATTAAAAGCCGATCGTCATCATTTTCGACTCTGAGAGGTGGAACGGGTTTGAGATGATTTTTCAGGACCTTGGCTACTTTCCAGAATGGTCTGGAGCGGTCGTCCAGATTCTGGACAACACGCCCGAAACTTTCATTTCGGAGTGAGTCCATTCTGACATGGTGGTAGTCTTTACGCAGGCAGCTTCTAGCAGGAACCACGTTGACACCGACTTCAGTCACCACCGGTTGGTGGTCGGAGCTGAGATCGTTGTGCGCCTCCGGCTTGGATAGTACGATGTTTGACAGGAAAAAGTCCAGGGTGGACGGATTTCCCGCCGGAGAGATAAAAGTTGGTTCGTCCGGAAACTGCACAGTGTACAGTCCATGTTGTGCGTGGTCGAACAATAGACATCCATTCCGGTTCCGCTGGTAGTTCCGCCAAGCTTCATGGCGGGCATTCAGGTGGCCCCCACGATGAATCGGGAGCTAGTACGGGTGATGGCGGTCAGGTCGTTCTTGAATTGAGCTCCTAGTCCATTGTTGGCGGTGCACTGGCGTGGGCAGTAAACAGCGATAAACCGGACGTTTCCAGTTGGTGATTCCACCTCCACACTAACGGCCTCGATGATAGAAGTGCGGACGTGGGAGTGCAGAACTTGATTCCCTTTCTGACGATTTTTTCAGCACACCGCAAACCTGTGCGTTTTATCAAGACTTTACGGTTAAATTACTCTTTCAGAAGAGGAATGAAATATCTGTTACATCTAAATTGAAAAAAAATGTTCATATTTTGGAAAATATAGGCGGTGTTCAATCTGCCTTGGGTGTTCATATTGCCCCTAGGTCCCCTATCCTCCAATAGTCGATTCAAAATTATGAATACATATGACATTTTTTCATAATTATGAAAGTCTACGTAGACTTTACGGGGAAAGGTTTCAGAAAAGTCGAATGCAGTCTTAGTCTACGAGGGGGGAGGGAGGAGTATACAAGTATCAAATTTCGGTCTATGTGGATTATGACCGGCCCGTTTGGAGAAATTAAGGAATAGTTCCTAGGGAATTCTGAACCTCATTTCAAGGAATTCACGAAACCACTCCAAACCAGAGCTGGTAAATATCACGGCCGTCATGAGAGAATGAGAAAACAGGTCCTCTCACTATCACGAGACGAAACTACCTATCATTAGTTTTTTTTTTGTCATTTTCCAATGATCAAGCACTCATGAGAATAATTCTATTGCGGTTTTTACATCTACATTTCTAACTGATTTAGATTAATTCAAGCAAGTAACCGTATGTAATCGGTAGAGTCAACATATTATTACGATTTTCTCGGTACAAGTAACTTTAAAAGCAATAAATGATCTAGTAATTACGATGATCACTGTGACGAAAAATTCGATGAGATTTTGAAGAAAATCTCTATCATCGTTTCATCCGATGATAGTGACAGAAGTATCTCTGTAAATATCGCGTGAGATCTTTCATTGAAAATGACATTTGCCAGCCCTGCTCCAAACGCATTCTAAGCAGAATATAGAGCAAATTGCGAAGATTATTCGATGGCAATGTTAGAGGAATACTTGGTGAATACTGAGGAGAGATATTTTCAGAAGAATGCAGAGTGAATTAAAGAGCGTCCTATAGATAATTTCTAGAGTATTATGAACCAAATTATAAGGGAATACCTAAGGTGAACTCTAAGGAAGTTTTTAGTCATTTAAAGGAATATAAATCTCGGGTCTTCCTTAGCTCAGTCGGTAATGGCGCCGCTACAAAGCTAGACCATGCTGGAGGTGGCTGGATTTGATTCCTGGTCCTGTATAGGAAAAATTCTCGACTTCCCTAGGCGTAGAGTATGATTGTACTTGCCACACAATTATACTAATGCAAAAATTGTACTGGCATCGAAACCTCTCAATCAATAACTGTGGAAGTGCATCTAGGACACTAAGTTGAGAGCACGCAATAAGCTAATAAGTAATAAGCAATAAACTTGAAAAACGAGGAAGATGAAGAAGAAGGAGAATTCTTGAGACAATTTTAAAGAAATCCTGTGTAGGGCTCCAAATTGACTCAAACACAGAAAGTTGATCGAGATTACCGATGAAAAGCAAAAAGTTGTGCAAAAATCGTAATCAATTTGTGTACCATGGAACAATTTCATCTGTTTATGTATTTTTCTATAAATGTAATTTTCAAATTAATTTTGTTTGGTCTAGAATCAAGAATGGAAAGAACTATCCTCACATCAATATGTATCCAACACATGAATTTTTACAATGTGATCAACAAATGATATCTATGTGTCAGACCCATACTTAATATGTGTATGTACATATAAAAGCCATATGTAACCACACATACTATTCATTTGAATCATAAATTTCATGTGTGTTATTGATTATTAGTGTAGAAAAATTGCAAAAGAAACAGGTTCAGCAGCATAGAGGGTATCGGGAAGTAACTTTCGGCGAAGGTGATTCGGTTTTGGTACGTGATTATTCTGATCCTAATAAAGCCCCTTGGTCCAGGCAGCAGTTCTTCAGAAAAAGGGAGCAAGAAATTATTTGGTGAAACTTACCTCTTCGGGCAGAACGATCTAGTGCCACACAAAGCAAATGGTTAAAGATAAGGAACCGGCATCGGAGGAAATCGAGAAGATCGGGAGAGGAGTAGCAGACAACGCAGGGGTGATATCGAACACTTTGACGAATGACCAGCAGCAACGTTCATCAGTTCGTGAAAATGTATCATTCAAAGCCGTGCTGAGTGATTGCAATAATCAATGTGAAATCCAGTTCCCTATGCTAGGTTACTAGATAGGGCTGAAGAAGAAGAAGAAGAAGAAGAAGTAGTAGAAGAAGGAGAAGTGTTAGAATTTGATAAAGAACATTGGCTTGTTAAACCAGAAACTTGTAACAGGAAACGGAAACAATTATTTGATAGCGGCTTGTTCGGAAGACCTTTGAGAAATTTTTTTACAGGACCAGTTTTTGACTCACGTATCTTATCTCGTTCACAGAACTCAGCTTGTATGCATCCAAAGCAAGGCCGTAATGTTGCAGAAATTCAAATGCAGTAGATAATTCAAGAACAACATGTGAAAAGGGCATACAAGCTTTTTGTAAACAAGCCTTCTTATGCCCTTTTCTCGCCACCTACATGACACCCACGCAAACCATCAACATCACCGGGTAGGGTAAACTTTCCCCTTCCCGATGATGTTGTTGCTTTGCGTGGGTGACCCTCGGTTGGCGAGAACAAGGCTTACAAAGGTTTGTTTACAAAAAGCTTGTATGCCCTTTTCACATGTGGCTCTTGAATTGTAAACCCAAGGATCATTTAGCTTGTCGTAGGGGTGTTCAGTACCATCTTGCTCTCTCAATAAAGTCAGTATTGTCTCAGCAATCAACCCGCGTGCGTGTTTATTACAGTTATAATATAATATGAGCCGCACACACCTATCAGAACCCTTCTTCTTCTTCTTCTTCTTCTTCTTCTTCGCATTTCAAGCTTATTGCATATCGCATATTAGCTTATTGCGTGCTCTCAACTTAGTGTTCTAGATGCACTTCCACAGTTATTAATTGAGAGCTTTCGATGCCTGTACCATTTTTGCATTGGTATAATTGTGAGGCAAGTCCAATCATACTTCTATGCCCAGGGAAGTCGAGAAATTTTCCAACCCGAAAAATTCCTAGACCGGACCGGGAATCGAACCCAGCATGGTCTTGCTTTGTAGCTGCGCCTTTACCGACTGAGCTAAGGGAGGCCCCCCTATCAGAACCCTCTTCCCATCTTAAAGTGTCTACGCAATATTTGGGCAGCCTCTAATGTAAATAGCGTACATACAATTTCGATCAAAGTATCGAGTACCGCAAATTTTTCACGTTATGTGGATTGTCATTCCTCATATGCCAGAAGTGCCGTTTCCGTGCAATTTTGTTAACGTGTACAATTTTTTGAAATATTAAAAATACATAATTTGAAATGTTCCAGATCAGAAGTGGCCGCATTTTAGCAAAAATTCGAATGATTGCCCATAACAAACAATTATGCAATGTTTTATGCAAATTGGAGAAGGCCATAATTCGGCTGCCCAATAGTTTTTGGAAAGATGACTGTAGTAGGCTTTGAAATTGTCAAATCAAAATTCAAACCAATTTTGAGCAATCTAATAAGCTGCTGGAACTAAACATTAGTTCTTCCGATTCATATCAAATTTATAGTGTTTTACTAATTGTACTATGTATCAGTACGTAATTAGGTACCGTAACCGTAAAACAAAACGGAATCAAACATTTTTAAATGACTTCAAACGTTGTTCAGTTGTAGCATGTTTGAACAACAAAAACCAAAAAAAAAATCCCTCATTTATTGCATCAGTCTAATCAATTTTTCTTGCTCTAATCTCACCACCATATAGTCACCATCATCATCATCACTCGCATTTGGCCAACGGCAAAGTCACATCAAACGGAACGACCACATCGCTATCGTCGGCATCTTCGGCCCTATCGTCATCGTCGTCGTCGTTAGTGGAATCAAAGAGAGAGCAACGCAGCACCACAGTGACAACCATCAATACTACTACTACCACAGCGAGCTGTGAATCCCGATCGGGATCTTTGGTGAATTCTTTATCAGTGGTCACTTCGGTTGAACCGGTGACGTCTGGTGACAACAACAGTAGTGACGCAAGCGTCCCCTATAACAATAATAGTAGTACGCAAGAATCTCGATCGGATGCGGCGGCAGTAGTAATCGAGCAAGCATCAGTCGAACAGCAGCCTATTATCGGTGCAGAACAACAAAAGATGAAGTTGAGTGAACCGACGACGGTCGTTAACGGAGGTGATGGTGGCGATTGCCCCACGTCCACGACGGTGTTCCGAAATGGTACCAGCAGGAAGAATGGCCACCACCACATGGTGGAGGACGATAAGGAAAATGCAAACGGTGACCTGTTGTTGGAAGTGACGCCGATGGCCAAGACGCAGCTAAAGGATGGAAACTACTTTCTACAGGTGCTCAAGAATGAACAAAATCGGCTACTCACAATGGCAGCCGACATTGACAGGGATGTTGAACAGTTGAAGGTAAGCTTAGCTGCAGCAGAGCTGAGGGAGATAATGTGCGACAACTTTGTGTGTGCTATCAGTTTTATAATTGGATTTGATGGAATGAATCATCGGTTTTTCTTTGCTTTTAGATTGATGGCGTGGAGATCAGCGAGGAAGTTGCCGGCTATGTGCTGGCGGCCGCTGGCAAGGCACGGCTCCTAAGTACCAAGAAAATGAAGCAGTTTGAAGGTAAGTGTGCATTGTTTTCTTGCTGATAGACTAAGTACAATAGATTGCTACAATACCGTCAAAGGTTTCTCATCGTTGCTATACTGAAAAACATTCAGTCAAATTAAAAATCAAAGACCATTTCATCGAAACTTTAAACTACATCCTCTGCACAATCTGTGCAGCAGAAGCAATCAACATAAATGTCTCGTCCCATTTCAATGCAAATTTCGTGGAGCCAATGCACAATGCCCAAATTGGCTGCAAGCTGCTAGGTCAAGCGGTTGCACATTACCAATTCAGTAGCGGAATCAAGCATTCCAGTCCAGTCGGCACCCAACATCTACCCACCCTACGACCTGTGCAGAGTCAAATGAACCGAGCATCGGTTCGGTACCCAACTTTTCTATATAATTAAAAATTCAAACATGTCGGAAGCCTTCATCGATGCGGGAGACTTATGCATTCCAATTTGCAAATAGCTGTATTCTGCCTAGGTGCCTCTCCGCCGTCAGATTGGGCTAAAGGGTTCCGTGCGGAATGAGAAACGGGCGTGGAGACATTCATTCGCATAATGGGCAAGCACGGTAAAGATGCAAAACATTTTTTTTTTGGAGCGCATCCAAATTTGTGCCGCCGCGTCCGCACAGTTCTTCCGCTGCAGACATATTACCCATCTCTCTTTTGCTCATTCTCTTTCGAAACGATGGCGATGGCACGAACAACAACAATCATCTTCAAGGTACATTATTTGAGCCGTCTAACCGAATCAACCGGTCGAGATAAATAACTCGATAGAGAATCGCAATTGGCTTGGCAACTTGTTTCAAAAGTTTACCCGTTTCAAAATGCGAAAGGTGCTTTTATTAATGACGACAGTCTCCAAAATTGATGTTGTTTTTCGTTATTATCACACATGGCTTGTGTTGTTTACATTCTCCCTGTCGAGGGGCATCGTTATCGCATTTGTGGTTGGTGGTGCTATCGAAAGCTCAAACTGCCATTCCGCTTCCATAACAACAGCGCAGAGCAGCGCCAACAAAATGTGATAAGAGAAAATGAAAACAGCACATGTCATATTTGTGGAAAAATTGCATTTCGGATAATCACATGAATGTTTATCGTGGATTACCTAAGCCTCGCTCTGACGTGTTAGTGAACTTGCGCCATTTAGCCATGTAGAGTGTGTGACTAACTTATCAATCTCCATCAAGTACAATAAGGCACTTTCGATTGTGCTATATGCACCTCACTTATTGCCCCATCATACTCGGCTTAACCTTGACTTTTTTGCGATTATTTTGTTTTATTTATATTTATTTCGCCCAAACAATTCTGCCATACGGCATGCCGTTCTTTATTCTGTCTTTCATTCCGCCTTTCCCACATAATCAGCTTTATTTATTTACTTTCACATTCTGACGGCGACACAGCGGGATTTGCGCTTGTTTTCCAATCTGCAATAGGAAAACTTTCACTTGCGCGGATTTTTTTCCACTTTAGATTAGTTTATAGATTAGGGTTCATTGGGCAACTGATTGATTGATTGATTGATTGAATGATTGACTGGTTTACTTATGTTTCGTTTTCCTCACCTAGGTCTATGTTACAACAATCTCAACCAATCACCGGACGAAAAGTTCCAAACGACGAACGAAGATCTGCGCGGTTTCTGGGACATGGTGATGCTGCAGGTTAATGATATCGATGCGTCCTTCGAAGAGATCGATTCCTTCCGGAGGAACGGGTGGAACGTGAGTTTAACAATCTTAGTATAAGATTTTTATAATTTGATGAATCTACTCAGCTCTGAGTAGGTACCCCTTTACTTTACTTAGCTTTCCATCATCCAGCAGTCCTTGGCTTCTGTAATAATTTTACGGACGACTTCTTCTTCTTCTTCTTCCTCGCATTTCAAGCTAATTGCGTATGGCATAATAGCTTATTGCGTGCTCCCAACTTAGTGTTCTAGATGTACTTCCACAGTTATTAATTGAGAGCTTTCGATGCCTTTACCATTTTTGCATTAGTATAATTCAGGGTGGCCAGCAAACCAGGAAAATCGGGAATACCGGGAAATATCCGGGAATTTGAAAAGTAACCGGGAAAACCGGGTAAAACCCGAGAATTCGGTGAGAGAACCGGGAAAAATAAATTAATTATACCATAGGAACAAATTTCAGCACCAGAATTTCAGAATAAACCATTAAAACAGATTAATCCTTTACCAAATGAATGTCTTGCTCTATTTGCTGCATAATTTTCTTCAGTTTCCCGTCTTATTGTTCTTAGAATTTAATCACTCAGCAATATTGTAAATTGATATTTGTCGTTTCAATTTCAGATGTAAAGTGTTTGGTCCTTAAAAGAAAATATTGAAGATGCTGGACTTTGGAAACAAAAAATTGTAAAAACCAAAACTGAATTATTCTTTTGCAGGGTTTAATTTTGTCGTTGTTCTATATTCTCACGATATAAATTCCAGAATCAACTTGGAATTCTGCTCTGAATTATCTTAAAACTGTTCTGAAATAAGCCAGAAAACACCCCGCGTAATAATTACCAGTGAATTCTTTTTGGAATTTCCTTGCAACCCCTTTTAATAATTTAATTGGAATCCTTCTTAAAATATGCCTTTTTTAATAAAAACTAAACGATCTATTCAACCTCTTGTGGTAAATAGGAGAACGTCAAAAAGAGTGTTGTGAGTAGAAATATTTGTCGTGAGACATAGCAAGCGGAACACTTTTTTACTTTTCCTGATAAATTGATTCATCTGAGATGATCCAAAACTTGATTTACAGTTTAAAAATTTAATTCTGTATCGTTTTTGCAAGAATCATGCTAGTGTCCAGGAATATTTTTGGTGAGAAAAATGGAAAATTATAAAAGTGCTTAGTGGTTATTATATTCTGGATTTGTATGCAAATAGTTCAAGTGCAAAACAGTTCAGATCTGTGAAAAATCGTAAAATATGGCAATTGACAAGATGTTGAATGACAAATGCTCCAATTTGCTTTGTGAAAAATCCTCATTCTGATGTAAACAAATGTTTTGGCTGACGTTTCCTCTCGAATTCGCTTGGCGCACTCTACATTGGTAGTGCATTAAAAAGGCATATTATCTTGAGCCTATCTGGAGATTGCGATTCCTTTGAATATCTCTTAACTCTATTCAAAACAGCAGAACTCTTTCGAAACTTTTATTTTGAAAGCCTTGCAATCAATTTTGTTTGAGTTCTGTGATGAATCTTTCGCACTAGGGTTGAAATTATTGCCATAACACTCTTAGAACTCGGTTTCTTGTTGAATTCTGATCATAATTCTCTTGGAATACTTCTTAAAATTCATCTGTAATTTTCCTCACGATCCCCATACAAATCTCCTCAGTATCACGTAGGAATTTTCCGCAAAGTTTTTTTTTCACAACTCCTTTTTAAATCTTCTAAAATTATCTAACAATTTAATTTAGAACATGCATTCTTCTCCACAGAAATCCCTCCAAATTCATCTAAAAATGTCTAAGGATTTCATGTTAGAATAATTCTGGTATTCTACTCAGAACTTCTCATTTGAAAGCTGTGTGGGAATCTTTTGTTTGAAATCAACACTTTGAATTCTTTTAAATTTTACTAAAAACTCCAGGGTTTGTCCACTAGATTCTATAGATTGTTCTGTAATTTGTTATAACCCTTAAAATGCCCCTTCAAATCTGTGAGCTTGAACTTTTTTTCAAAATCTCATATTTTAATTATTTTTCTCCAAATCTTGCATCACAAAGGTTATTATTAATCACAGATTTTGAAAAAAAAAAATTCTAGTTTCAGAATCTACACAAATTTAAAGCCCCACGATCTTGGGAATCTTCTTAAATCACATTTATCCCTTCAGTAAATTTCTTTCAGCACGTTCTTAAAAATGCGTTCAATTTCGTTTTTTATTTTGTTGAATATTAACAACCGGGAATTTTTGAAGTTTAAGCCGGGAAAACTGGGAAAAAACCGGGAATTTCTAAATGATGATTCACTGGCCACCCTGATAATTGTGTGGCAAGTACAATTTTACTCTATGCCCAGGGAAGTCGAGAAATTTTTCAATCCGTAAAATTCCTAGACCGGACCGGGAATCGAACCCAGCTACCTCCAGCATGGTCTTGCTTTGTAGCTGTGCCTTTACCGACTGACCTAAGGGAGGTCCCTTTGTGGAAGACTACAAATTCCTAAAGGGCTGTCTACACGGAGGGTGAGGGGGATGTGGGGTTGCAAAGTGTTCCGAAGTACATAAAGGGTTTTTTTTTAATTGTGTATGTGGGGAAAGAGGAAGGGGTTTTGTCTACAATGTCTAAAAATCTGGAAGTCATCATGCACACTAGCGCCGGCAGCGTAGTGAGTATTTTTTGAACTTTTATGACCACCACCCAAAGGGTCGGGGTCACCTGATGAACAACTTTACTGACTACTGTCAACTTTCTAGACTATTAGGATTTCAAGAAACAATTTGTTCGAGAAGTACACATGCACGTTAGCGCCAGGTAGTAATACAGTTTCAAACTAAACTAAACTATCCTCTACCCGCATGGCCATGGTTTTCTGAGCCCATGACAGTAAAATTAAATTGATCATCAGAATCTCGAAACAGAATATAAATGTACTGGAAGATCATACACAATAAATAGCGCAAGTAGTGGGACCTCCCTTAGCTCAGTCGGTAAAGGCGCAGCAATACAAAGCAAGACCATGCTGGAGATGGCTGGGTTCGATTCTCGGTCCGGTCTAGGAATTTTTCGTATTGGAAAATGTCTCGACTTCCCTGGGCATAGAAGTATGATTGGGACTTGCCTTGCCACAAAATTATACCAATGCATAAATGGTACAGGCATCGAAAGCTCTCAATTAATAACTGTGGAAGTGCATCTCCTCGAACACTAAGTTGAGAGCCCGCAATAAGCTAATATGCGATAAGCATTAAGCTTGAAATGCGAAGAAGAAGAAGAAGTAAGCGAATTCCTTATTGCCCACCACCATCGTCGAAACCCAGAAACGACTCTGTTTTGAAATTTGTGTCCGAATTCATCATTATCATTCCTATCTCTCCATGGACATGGAGATTGACAGTATTGAAGCAAAGGGTTATTTATTTATTTATTTATTTATTTATTTATTTATTTATTTAAGCCTCTTTGGAAAATATTTGCGCAAATAGGCGTAAAAACCCCCGTCACCTATCCAGCAGACTACGTTGAATCCGTTGACGAAATGTTTCCACTGTGCAGTTGAAATCGAAAAAAAAAACATAGAATTCATTGAAACGGGCAGACATGAACCGTATTGGATCATGTAATCCGTAATTAGCTGCACGGGGTCTGAGATGCAGGAAACTTATCGATCGTAGAACTCGTTCAGGTGCATAGATTTCGAATTCAGTCAAAATCCCGGGAGAGGCGATTTCGCTTATCAGCACTTTAGCGTTAGCGTTAGCGTTGTTATGATATACTTCGTAGATTGGATACTAGCGACACTCACGTCTCTTCTGAAATCCTCAGTTAGACTACTTTCAGGAATAATGCTGGGGAGTAAACATTGGTTCCAATCTAAACAAGAGTAACAGAAGCATGACTGTCGCTATTCCCGGCCACCACCATCTTTACCATAACTAGGGATAGGGAAGGAAATGTTGATGTAGTACTTACTTAACGAGAGGCCACCGACTTAGCGACACCCTCATAAGTGCTACGGAGTTGGAGGGTTGGGTAGGGTATTCGGTTAGGATTCACCTCAAGTTGGCGATGCAACCAAAAGGATGTATTGTTTATTTGTTGTTTATTTAATCTCTCGATAGCCGGCTATCGAAAGAACATATTCATTTTGTTTACTGATCATGGATTTTAAGAGTCATGACGGAGAGCTTGGGATTAAACCCATGATTTTCTGCTCAGTAAGCAAAAACGATCCCTCCAGGGTCATCGAGCATCTCAGAACTATAACGCTTCGCGACAATACAGGACTGCGTTTTCGCTTGATATGCAAATAGTTTCCGAGGTTAATGGTCAATATCAAATATACAAATGATGGTGGCGACTTATTGTACTGTGGAAGAGCTTGGGGTTAAATCCATGATTTTCTGCTCAGTAAGCAAAATCGATCCCTCCAGGGTCATCGGGCATCTCATAATCCACAGCGCTTCGCGCCAAGGTACAAATATATGGATGAACTATCTATTATTGAATAACTATTATTTACCATAATTACATGAAAGAAATAAAATATAAACTACAAACAAAACGTGACTACTAAATCTCAAAAAGATATTCTCACAAATGTATTTCACGCAACCAGGAATCTCAAAACCATTAGACGCTATAATGATACTCTGCACATGTTAAACACAAGAAGAGGCTAAAAAGCAAGCGTCCGACACACAAAACCCGCCAAATCCACTTGCAGTCACAATCAACGATTCTACGAATCGCGAGCGCTCACGAATCGTAAAACCGCTGACTGCGACACTCTGAAAGCGAAATTGATAAGCTCTATGCGTCAAACACCCGCCCTTCAATCCCCTCCCGCATCCATTAACACAAATCTCCATTACAACATCTAACGAATTCAAAACTCTGAAAATCACTCATCTATAGCAAGTGAGTGGAAGCAACCCTGCATGCAACCATTCTTCATGGTACACTTTTTCTGCCTATCTTTCTATTAGGCTTGTGGACATGCGTTAGCTTTGAAACTTCTAACCAAACTGGGAAATCTATCAGATCACAAAAACTTGAAAAATCTTTCAAAGGTAATTACAAGTAAAATAAATATTGATTATTTCACGCAAAAACGAGCAAGTAATATTAAATCTCTTGTATCGCATGCTAATGCTAATTGACTGTAACAAAAATAATATGTTTAAATAAAATAAAATATTAATAAAATTATATGCAAAATTTACTAGAAGATCATTACTTTATTGGTGAGAAGCTTCTAATAAGCCCTCCCAGTTCCTCTGTACCTATACAGACCAAATCTGATACTATAATCAGAATTGCTCAGTCTGCATGAAGCAGCCGATTTCATCAAGGAAGTTCTATTAACAACCAAGAATTAATCGTTTGAGGCATACTGAAGCATTAAGAAGGTGATATGTGTCACTATAGGAAATCATCATCGTTGCAAATATAAAGAAATTAAACATAACCCTTTGCTTCAGTACCGTCAACCTCCATGTCCATGGGGAGGGATTTCGCTTATCAGCACTTTTGCTGCAAAAACTGCCTGGTTAATCTTCCGCCTACGTTCAAGAGTTTCAATACCCAGTAGTTCGCAACGATCTTCGTAGGGTGGAAGGTTCGTAGGATCGTACCAAGGAAGGTGGCGAAGAGCGTAACGAACGAATTTCCTCTGAGCAGACTCGATCCTCGCTATCCAAACTGTGTGTCCCTGCCTCCATATTCTGTAGGCATAGGGAAATGAAAGAAGCGAGGTTTGTTGAGACCGAACGTTGTTTGGGGTGGAAACCATGTTGGTCAGGAGAAATTTAGTTTCTACAGCTGGCAAATAAAGCGTCGTTGATGATTATCTCGAATACTTTCGAGCAGGCACAAAGTGAAGTAATTCCTCGGTAATTCTCCACATTTTGTTTGTCTCCTTTCTTGAAAATCGGGAACATGAACGAAGATTTCCAACGAGAGGGAAATACACCTTGTTGTAACGAAATATTGAACAGCTTTGAAAGCGGAGAGGAAAGCTCTGTGGAGCATATTTTGAGTATGGACGATGGAATGCCGTCAGGCCCAACAGCGTTCGAGAATTTCAGCTTCTGGATGGCAGAGTCGACGAGGTCCAATGTGACCGTGAAAATATCAAAACTGAACGCGTCACTGGGAGTATCTCTGATCCCTTCAGCAACTTGGCGTAACGATGCCGTTGAATCGTTGAAAACACTCTTGAAATGCTCAGCCAGGCAGGTTACATTTCTCTAAAGAAGTGTTGGCTCTTTTATCGCTTAGATGAATCTCAACCGGTAGCCCATCCTTTTTCCTTTTTGTCTTCACAAACGTCCAGAATAGCTTAGGATTACGCCGGAGATTGGTCTGCATACGTCTTGAGTATTTCTTGTATAGAAAACGGTTGTACATTCGGTAGCAATTACTTGCTAACGAAAATAATCGTTTGGTGAATGGATCACACGCGCTTCAAGTGTTGTAATCGAGCATTGGACCATGCAGGTTTTGGAGCAGGTCTCCTCAGAGGCACACAATCCATTATTAATTGGCTAACAACTTCGTCGAAATAGTTCACGGCTTCAACAATGGACGAACACAAGTCAAGCGACTGCCAATCTAGCTGGGCCAGTGAGTGATTCAATGCGACGTAGTCAGTTCTACGAAAGTCCAGGCTTTGTACATCAACGATGTTTTCATAGAGAACAGGAACTGATCGATTGATGAATGCTTCCAACGCTGGATGATCGGCGTCTAGATGTATCAGATGCTCGGATGCCTCAGTGACACTGCACTCTAGTGCGGCGGCTTCGTTGTCGTTCAGTCGTTTGGAAACCGCAATCAAGACGCCACCACCACGTGATTTGGCACTGTTCATCCGGTTACGGTCATTACGAAAAACTGAGAACCTACTGCCAAATAATTGTGCTGAGTGAATTCGATCATCTAGCCAGGTCTCGGTAAGAACTATTGCATCGTAGTTGGACTCAACAGCAGTCAAGAATAAGTCGTCAATTTTAGTTCGCAAGCCACGAACATTTTGATGATTTCCCATAGTGACTTTTATTTGTTTATTGGTTATGTTTGCATCAACAGACTAGAAATAGTCCCATTGATGTGTTGTAAAAAAAGTACAGATTATACAGACTTCATATACTACAGTTACAAACGAACATAGCAAGGAAAGCATTGTCAAGTTACTAAAAATGTATAAGTCTAAAATATTACACTTAGCTGTTGGGTGTCAAGCGCCTTCGGTCAGCAAAAGAGGCAGAGAATCTTCGGCGAAGCATATTCCGTGTCAAGTGGAAATCGCACATCGACGCTACTCGGTTGAACACTCGCTGCAAGTCATAAATAGCGCTCCCTAAGCTATAATTAGTTCGAATAAGTGGAAGTCTTAGCATAAGACTGTTGCGTAGTGATCGAGGTTGAACATTAATGTTCACTTGTTGCAGAATTGCTTCGTAGTCGATTCTTCCTTGCAGAGTATCGGCGACGGTTAAGGCTCTGACAACATCTCTTCGGATACGTAAGGTAGCGATTCTCGTACCTTGGAAGACGAAGTGCTTATCTCCAAGGCAGCTTACGGAGCGCGAAGCGAAGAAAACGTCGTAGAGCGATTTCAAGAAGTAAATGTCTGTGAAGTTCTTAGTAATCTTGAAGACAAAGCCAAGAGTTCTGGACGCTTTGTCGACGACATACGATACATGGTGTGAGTGTGTCAGCTTTGAGTCTAGAAAAACGCCTAAGTCTTTCACGCAATGCACCTGTTCGATAGTCGTGCCTAGTAGTTTGTAGTTGAAAATAATCGGTTGTTTCTTGCGTGAGAAAGTAATGATTGTACACTTAGCTGGGTTGACCACCAGTCGGTTTAGACTACACCAGTCAGCAATGTTGTCAATCTGATTTTGGAGAGAACGGCAGTCGGCGAGAGAGTGGATGCGCATAAAAACTTGTTATGAATTAAACAAGCTAATCTTTGATTACAGTAAACCCCAAAACAAAAAGCGGATGATAAGGAAAATATAAATGGAATCCGCGTAAACGGTGGCCATACTATGCGGGTTTTGACTCAATTGGTATCAACATGGAATATCTCGGGATCCTCACCAGATAGAAAGTTACTTTTTTCCAGAAAGTTGTTCAGGAGATCGTAACCTTTTCGCTGGTGGACAATAGTTCATGTTCTTACTACGAGCGCTAGTATACATGCGAAATTCTCGCATGTGATATGTCTCGAGTTCCTGACCAGATAGAAAGTTAATGTTTTCGACAAAGTTGTTCAGGAGGTCAAAGCCTATTGCTTGGTGCACAAAGAGCCATGAAGTGAAAAAATAACAGTATCTGAATCTCGAGATATTTTATGTGTGAGAATTCCACAAGTATACTAGCGTCGCGTGGTTAGAAAATTCTAAACTACCATCCACCATGACCCCCTGAACAAGTTTGAAGAAGACATTTATTTTCTATCTGGTCAGGATCTAGAGTTATCTTATATGCAAGAATTTCACATATATACTAGCTCCGCATATTGAGATAACTTGGAACTACTGTTCACCAAGCAATAGGCTTGACCTCCTAAACAACTTTGTCCAAGACAGTAACTTTCTATCTGGTCAGGATTTCGAGATATATCACATGCGAGAATTTCACATGTACATTAGCGCTACGTAGTGGGACAAAGAAAGACCATGCTGGAGGTGGCTAGACAAGGTTAGAAAATTTCTCGACTTCAATGACATAGAGTAGATTTTACTTGCCACACAATTATACTAATGTAAAAATGGTACAGGCATCGAAACCTCTCAATTAATAACTGTGGAAGTGCATCTAGAACACTAAGTTGAGAGCACGCAATAAGCTATTATGCGATAATCAATAAGCTGGAAATGCAAAGAAGAAGAATAAATGTGCTAATTCACTGTTCTCGTACTTATGTATTCTTGAGAATTAGTTGAACAACTATTGAAAAAAACAACAATTAAAATACTATTGATTATAAACAACAGCTTTTTTTTATGGATTCGGATTCGATAATTTTAGACTGCATGGAACATTTTTTGTCCTACCACTTGTTTTAAGAACTCATTTTTGCGTCTCAAAACAACGAAACACCTTCTGGGAAGGAAAGGGTAACGAGTTTACATCGGACAACGTCTGCTAACACCTAGTCTCACATTGTTCCATTCCAGAAACCGGAACCCAAAAGTCCCACCCCTCAGGTACGTAGCACCGCTCGGAGTACGAAGCTGACGAAACGGCCCTACAAGACCCCTGCCAACGGGACAAGCAACGGAACCACCGCGGACAGTACGGCAGCCGATGCGAAAAAAGCTTCAGCTGCCGCTGCCGCTGCCAGGCGGGAAGCCCAGCGGAAACAGCTAATGGAGCTTAAGCGGAAGCAGAAACTCGCCAACAGCCAGCAAAACGTTGAGATATTTGTTCCGGAAACCAATGGCAAAACGGCGGTGACATTTGCGGACACGAATGGCGCTCCACCAGTGGATGCGAGTTGATCCCGTCCGCTTCCAGCCGCCGCTCAACACTAACTGGGCTCAACCGGACAGTCACCGGATGTTGCGTAATTTTTTTTTGTATTACAACTTTTTTTTTTGGTCATTCGTAGATTACGCGCTAAATCACATACACCACATAAGGGACACATTCACTCATTCAAACGCATTACCTATAGGGAGACATGATTGGACTGACTGATTAAATAGACGACGATGAGAGGGAGAGCGAGAGTGATAATGACATGATTTGCACTTGAGTGGATGGGAATTTTATGGAAGGTATTGTATGATTGCAGGACGAAAACGGAAAGAGTGAACTTGTCGATAGATAAAATGATGATAAACCCGTAACTGAAATGCATCAATTGTGATTTTACGAGAAATGACAAATTTTTTATACGTTGAATATACTTATTATTAGTTAGAGGGTAATCGATTAAACAATAAACAATGCGAAGAAATTAAGGAGACATATTTATTTAGTTGTAAGAGTCACGAAATATAACATATAAATAAAGTAGACAAAATTCACGTTTTTGCGATATAGGAAAATCTGTGTGCGAAGGCAATTGCCTTTCTATTTTTGGATATTTTTCTATTATCTTTTCGCTGAACGATATTCTACATCGAAAGGAATGTGAGAAGCGTGAATTTGCTAAATTTCCACGTGGTATTTTGGAAGGGCCGGAAGATGCGAAATTTACTTTGGCTTCGTTAGAGATTAGTTTGTAAGCAAGATTACGATTACCGATCACCTTCACTAATACCTATTAGGTACATATCTACTATTTATATACTATTACTACTATTAGCGAGTAGTGAAGCAAATGATGGTTAATAAACTTTCACACCGACACAGTTTTGGCAAGGTTGGTATTATTTTTTGTGCGGCAGAGTTATCGAACTGGTTCGCCAATCATGGAAGTAACTAAAGCAGTGACATATTTTCATCCTTGAATCGTGAAACTGATATGTCGAAACACGCCGTTGAACAATTTTGTGAGTTAAGTTTTCCGTATTTTCTTTTCCCAATTATTCTACTTTGTTGATTTCCTACCTGGTCTCGGCATTTTTCCACCAGTGATAGCTTTTTAGAATCCACCGAACAAGTTTGTCGAATCCTAAGCATTCCTACTATTACTTTGGCTTAAATCCGTTTCCATCACACCAATATATGAGTGCCTTTTGATCGTTGATCGCGTACAAAGTAGTACAAAGCGTAGGTGTTTAGTTGTGTTAGGTTTTTGTTTGCTTATGTTTGATTATTGTGCCGTTCGTTCTAAATTTGGTTTGGAAAAATGTCGAGTTCAACCTTTTCTCCCAAAAAATCTATCAAGATAAAAGATTTGCTCACGCTTTCAAGGAATAGATTAGAAGAAACTCTACTATAAATCGTAGTAGTTGTAAAGAAGAAGAAAATGATGCTTTCTAATGAAAATTCGAGTTTACACGCGTAGAGAAGTACTAACGTTCAATACAAATTTAAGCGAAGTTTTCATATTATGCATAAAAAGTTCTAATTATACTACCACCCACTGTATATTGTATCTATTAACCTCTATTGACGACACTCAACAATCCCTCACGAACGGTGTGCGATCGAAGGATCCGCGGTGGAAGATAAGATGATGTAGCCGCATGAGATGGTTACTAAGTACCTACTGCAAGGCTACGGCTACCAATCCGATGTTTGTTAAATGTAGACGCAATGATCTGGATCGTTGATGTGAGAGATAAATAAAGGTGTTTTGTGAAACACCCCGCAGATTGTAAACGGAATATTGGATAGGTGTTGGTTTTTGTTAGCTTCGAAATTCCATGTTGCATGTACCCAGGATGACGTGACTCCGCAGGAAGTGCCGCTCGACATGATGTACTTATACTTCTTTAGTATTTTGCTATTTTACACTGTGCGTTCTTTGCCACCGAAATACAGCTGTGGTTACCCGAGCAAGAACCGATAACTATCGGATATCATATGAATTCTTAACACTCCGAATACCAAGTATGCAATTATATAACTTAGCCATTTATTTATGATTTCCCAAAATTATGGTACCTCTAGAATTCCTAGGCTCTGTAGATTATTTAAATTGCAGATAGATTGAAAATAAGGTCGTCTACTTTTTTTAAAGCGAAAAGAGTTGTTACACGTTTTTTTTTTCTAAGATGTGTTTTTGGGTTTTGCAAATGTTTTAAGATCCATAATTTAGATTAATGGGTACAAATGTTCATAATTAGCCAAAATATAATCATGGTTCCTATATATGGAAACTGGAGATAACGGAAAGGTCATATAAAGATCCGGAACATCCGTAAAAGTGGTCTATCCATAAACCTGATCCTAGAACTCCACGGTTTTTCGAAAACATTAGGAACTGTTATATAAGAAAGAATTTGGGTTCATGACATAAATATGGACTCGGATGGCCATCGGACCTTCCTCCGGAAGATCCTGAACATCCGTAAAAGTGTTCAATCTATGAAACTGATCCTAGAGCTCCACGGTTTTTTTTTCGCAAACACTTGGGACTGTCATATAAAAATAAATTAGGGGTGAAGACATAAACATGTACCTAGAAGGCCATGGGACTGTCCTCCGAAAGATCTGGAACATTCTTAAAAATGTTCAATCCATGAAACTGATCCTAGAACTCCGCGGTTTTTTCGATAGCATTACGAACTGTGATATAAGAAATAACCTGGGGTCATGATGGGATCGTCGCCTGGAAGATCTGGAACATGAAACTGTGTTAAAAACCGTGATTTTTTTTTATCGAAAACTTCACAGTTCGAAGTGTTGTCGAGAAAAGTTTCATGAATTTACCACTTTTAAGGATGTGCCAAATCTTCCAGAGTACGGTCTCATGCCCCTCCAGGTCCATGTTTACATCACGACCTAATTTTTTTCACGACCCCAAATTCTTTCTTATATTACACAGGGTGTCTACTACCTGGGAAAACCGGCAATTTACAGGGAATTTTATTTTTTCTGGGAAAACCTGGAATATTCAGGGAATTTTGGTTCCACTCAGGGAATTTTCCAATTATCACTTCATTCGTAATTCAAAAGAAGTTTTTCGTTCAGTTTCTTGAAACGTTTCTTAAGGACACTGAACTTGACAAGCATCTCACAGCTAAGACAACGTGTGCGAACGAGACAAGTTCATTCAGAGAGTCTTGTCACGCTCGCTCTTCGCTGATTTGTATGTGGATGATCAAAATCGTCGGAAATAGGAAACAGCCGAAAAAGAGAGACTGGCAACCGTCAAAAGGAAGCATATACGAAGCATGTATTGTATAAGAATAAGCATGCCAGACAGCAGGTCTACATATAATTTTTTTGAGCTTCAGAGAGGGTCGGAGATCTACTGAGAAATTTGTTGGCTTACCGGAACACAGTGATGACATTTTCATTGGCAGAATTTTGAATTCGAACGAAACAACTGCTTTTGATGATTGAAAAAACAATGATGGTTTGTTGAACCTTCAGGGTAGTTCGTAGATCTTGAGAACAGAACTACAAACAAATTAAAAGTAATTAACAGAAATTCATAAAAACAAAATCACAAGAGAGGTCGTAGATCTTCAGATAAATGTTCAAAGAAATTTTCAAAACTTCACGCATGCAAAAATAATTACTATAAGCGAAATTTTGCAAATCTTCAGGGAAATTCGCATAACTTCAGACAAGTCCAAGAGTCTACAGTGAAATATAAAGTATTTCACAGAAGTTTGGAGATCATCGAAACATTATTCAACATCAGAAAAGTTCGTAGATCTTCAGAACAAAGCTACAGAACTTTGAAAAAAATTACAGGACTTCTGAAAAAATCACAAGAATCTCAGAAATGTTAATGGATCTTCAGTAAAAATTGCAGAACTTCTAGGAAGCTCGGTGAATTAAAAAAAAATATTTACACGATTTCAGGAAAATTTGTAGATCTTGAGAGAGACATTTAAAACTTCTAAGAAGCTCAAATATTTTCAGATCAATTTTGACAACTTTAGGTAATCTTCAATTTTCAAATCTTCAGAGTAACCCGAGAGGAATTTACAAAACATCAGAGAAGTTTGCAGATCTACTGAGAAATTTATTGAGCCTCAAGTTTTTTTTTGTAGATCTTGGGAATAGAGCTACGGAGCTTAAGACAACTTTGCATAACTTTAAAGATATTTGCAGGAATTTGACATAAAATTTCACAGTTTCACACAAATGTGAGATCTTCAGAAAAATTCGTTAAATGTCAGAAAAGCACCTAAATTCCAAAAACAAATCGCAGCGAAGTACAAAAGTACAATATTTTGCAGAACTCCATGGAAGTCGGAAATAGATAGATCTAAAGAACTTCAGAGAAGTCCGTAGACCTTAAGAGAAGTCTGTAGAACGTCAGAAAGTTCGTACGTTTTTAGAAAAATTTGCAAATTTTCTTCGGGAAAGTTCGTCGATCTTTAAATAAATAATCCACAAAGAAATTTAAAGAACTTAAGAAAAGTTCGGAGATCTACTGTGAAATTTATTGAACTTCAGGGCAGTTCGTAGATCTTTGGAGCAGAAATACAGTACTTCAAAAAAACTTTACAAGATTTGAAATAAATTTTAGGAACTTCAGAAAAGTTCAGAGGGTAGATCGTAAATCTACTCAAAAATTAGCAGATGTTTAAATAAATTTTCAGAATTTTACTGCGGTTCTTGAATTCTGAAAGACATTCACAGAACTTCAGGTAAGTTCGCTGATCTTTAGAGATATTTGAACAGCTTCAGAAAAATTAGAAAAAACTTCAGAATACTTCCTAAAACTTCCGGAAAGCTCAAAAATTTCTAGATAATCTTTTAATTCTTTAGAAAATTGTATTGATGTTCAGAGATATTTGCAGATATTCATTGAATCATGAAAATCTGCAGAGAAAATTACAGAACTTTCGAGAAGTTTGTAGATTATTAGAAATTTTGTGAACATCAGAGATAATTGTTAATCTTCAAGGATCTTAAATTTTCAGGGATTCAGGAACTTTGTAGATTATTAGGAAAATTTGCAGAACTTCTGAAGAACACACAGAACTCCAAAGAAATGTGTAGAACTACCGAGACACTAGCAGATTGTCAGAAAGATTGTTGATCTTTAAAGAAATTTTACCGGAGAACAGAAACAACACTTCAGGGACGTCAGAAGGTTTGAAGAATTGAGATATTAACAGAAATTTTCAGAACTCAAGGAATTATGTATCTAGTGAGAACTTTTCCCACTAGCTTGTCTAAAGTTGGTATCGACATCCTGGCGAAGTTTAGAAATCCATTTTCTTTTTCATATCGCAGCTCTTGATGGACAAGTTGAGCCAGATCCCTGCCGGTGTTCCTCCTGAGCAACCATTTCCTACTTCACAAAGTTCACCTTCTTTTTCTCATTTTATTTAAAATAATAAAAGCAAATACGTCTGCCGAAACTAGAGCAATTTTCCGGTAATTCATGATGGAAGTATTTACTTTTGATTCCTGATACAGTTTTGTTTTGAAATCTAAATTGGCAGTTCTTTCGACATGTGCAAGCAGTGTGAACACCAGCAAACAGGGGGGTTCGACAAAGTGTGTCGAAAGAAAATTCGAGCAGATTTTTCATTATGGCGGTGGTCAAAACCAGACCAAGAAATCAGATAGTCTAAACTGACCTTAAGAGATTTTAGACATGAGAAACCATGATTTATTCTGTCTTGATCTTCCAAACAGAGTTGGACTCAAACATATTATAAAAATGATATTTTATTTTTGAAAGCATATTGTTATCAAATTTTGATATATCGTTTTATCGAAATAGTATAGTCAGGTTTCTAACTTGTATTTATATTCTTGAATTAACACAAATACCAAAAAAGAATGTAATATTGATTGACGTAATGTATGTTACTGTATGAATAACTAATGTGATTGCAAAAACCAAATACAGTATTACACCCATGGATATAATTTCTTTTCGCAAATTATGTGTAGGATAAATGCACCAATAGTGGAGGTACTTTAGTGTAATGTGTTCCTATGGTGGCTTATAGAGTCTCTCAAAGCCGCTATAGAAGTACATTGTACTAACGTACCTCCACTATTGGTGCATTTACCAAACATAAATTGTACAAATTAATATTAAACAACCTATGTGCATCTGTTCTGCTGTTATATTTAATAACTTTTTTTCAATCCAAGCAATCAAATTCCCTGAGTTTTCCAGGTTTTTCCAGGTCGGATGAAAAAAAATTCCAGGTGCATACAAATTATACACATTATTATTTTATCTATTTATCCATCTGGAATCCCTTTTATGTACTTATTGATTTATGTTATTTTCGATTGTTCAAACTTGGGCGTTGGTACTTATAAGTCATAAGTACCAACGCTCAAGTTTGAACAATCGAAAATAACATAAATCAATAAGTACATAAAAGGGATTCCAGATGGATAAATAGATAAAATAATAATGTGTATAATTTGTATGCACCTGGAATTTTTTTCATCCGACCTGGAAAAACCTGGAAAACTCAGGGAATTTGATTGCTTGGATTAAGTAGACACCCCGATTACAGTTCCACGTGTTTTCGAAAGGACTGCAAAGCTCTAGGATCAGTTTCATGCATGGACCACTTTAAAGGATCTTTCGGATCTTCCGGTCTCATGGCCATCCGGGACCATGTTTATTTCACGACCTTAAGGGGGTATTCCCGATCTTTTTTTTTTCAAAAAATCAAATTTTTTTTTTCACGTTTTTTTGTACTTTAGACTATATACTTTCATC